AAGATGGGATGAAAGAGAGGGTGTTAGATGAAACGGAAGAGAGGGTGTCAGATTGGAGGACTTTTTTAGTAGAACAGAGGACATAAATGAGAGAAGTTTGAGAGGATGAAAAATATTTTGGAGAGGGAGGGAAAGTAAATGCTGGGAAAAATTTATCCTCTCTAATGGAAACTTTTTATGGAAGGGAAATACCAAAATTTTAAGAAAAAATAAGTATTTTTTAAGGAACTTTTTTTTAGGAAAACCAAATTATATATATATATATATATATAAAGGACTTATACTTAGCAAAGGAAATTATTTTAACTTTTTAGAAATTAATAAAATATTTTCAAAATCTTTAATTATTTTTAACAGAATTACTAACAGAAATAAAAAAAAGTAATTACAACAATTAAAAATAAAACTGAATTCGGTCAATAATTAACGACAATATTTTATTAGTAAAAATCAATTTTCTAATAATGTATGAATGGAATTAATTAATGTTCTTTTCTTTTCTTCTTCTTCTTCTTCTTTTTTGGGTAAAAACTTGTTTAAGTCTTTGATACATACCGGGTAAAAACTTGTGTTAAGTTAAAAATCAATTTATGATAAGTTTGATAAAAAAAAAAAATGCTAATAAAATATACTCTTGATATGGAAGATGACCAGGAAAGATAAGTTTTTTTTTATTTACTAAATTTAACAATTTTATTAAATTGAAATGAGAAAAAATGTCTATTTTTAGATAAGAAGCCAACTAAGAATTAAAAGAATTTTCTAAAAAAAAAAATTGGCTTACATGCAAACTCATACCTAAAAAAATTATTAATTTATAAAAATAATGCAAACTCGTACCTAAAAAATATCATTAAATGAGGCATGTTTAGAATACATCACAAATTAAATTAAATATTTCAAAATACATTAAATAATTCACATCACACCAGCCAAATGTGCCCATGCCAATTTTTACAATGATAAAGATCAATTTTGATGTTTACAAATTAAACATAGCTAACACAATAAATTTCTAAATTCTATTGCATTTTTCTGCATATGCCTTACGCGCGCATTTAAGAAATTGAAAATTCTAATTAGATAAAAAAAAAAAAAAGTGAAAAAAATTGTCCTCACGATAAATTTATAGGTGAAGCTAACGAATGTCTAGGTAATACTTGTTGGATTTTTTTTTTTTTTTTGTATAAATTACAAAAAAGAACTTTAAAATATCGTGAGCCGTTGGATTTTGATTTTGATTTTAATTTAAAGATCTAACAGTAGAGTCCACTAATCTAATACCTCGTGTATATTCTTCCAAATATTTTATTTTATTTTTATTAATGTTCAACATCATATTATGCTGAAAAACATTAACCATGCTTAGTAAAAAACATAAAAATTAAGTGTATTGCATAATGAGAAGCATCAATGCAAACTATTTTAACAATTTTTTAAAATATATATAATTGAAGCTAAGCATTTAAATTTAGTAAACTAATATACGGATATAGTCGTTGCTGCTGTAATAATTGTCATGATTAGGAAACAAATAATTATTCGGGGAAAAAGCAATGCCCAGTGGTGAACATGTAAGGTCATGAAAATGAATGTATACCAGAATTTTCATTGATAAGGATATAAAAAAGCAGAAAAATATCCAAAAAGGTGAAGCAACAGTCACTTTCTGGCAGCCAACCAAAGCAGAGAAAGAAAAAAAATGGTGAAAAACAGCAATGGAGAGGCATCTTGACCTTGTTGGATAGAATCTGCAAGTTTCTTCACGCAGGCCATAGATGCAGAAGAAAGCAAGTTGTTCTAAGCCAACGGCTCAATAATACACTGACAAATCCATAATGCAAAGGGTGACATCTTGTTGTGGTGCCAATGTCTCTCTTGAGGCCAGACCCATCCTATTGGTAGCCAAGTCAGCAAAATCCCCTTGAAGTTTCCATCCATCTTATATTCAATCACGCACTCAAACCTAACTCCTCTACCACCATTAAACTGTCCACGATTCAAACCTTGGCCAGAGCCCAGAAATATTTAATCAAGTGTGTGTTTGGAAATGAATGAAAATCAGACTTCACTTTCACAGGAAGTTGAAGATTCTTGCAGGGTAGTGGATCTTGGAATAACAACTATAAAGGCTATTTAGACCAAGAAATGTGGTCTGACCATAAGAAAATTACCTTGATTTAGTTAAAATTAAAGTTTAATTTTCATTATTTATATATAATTAGTTATAATTATTTTTATTGGTGATATCAAAATTGGGTTGATTTGGCTTAAAAAACAGTCCAGTGATCAGCCAAAAGATAAACATGCTTTAACACTAATTTATTTTTTAAAAAAAAATGAAAAGTTTAGTCTTGATTAATACAAAAATTAGTTTAAAAATACTCCACCTATATACATAGCTTATTTTTTTTAAATAAATGAAAATTTTAGTCTCGGTTAATATAAAATTTAGTTAAAAAAAAAAATACTCCACCTATGTATATATATAAGGTCATTTAAACCAAAACTACCGAAGAATGCATCATGAATATTTTAGTGAAAGTGAGCATCTCTCATTTAGCCTGTATCTGTTGATGTTCTAAAAATATATAACTTAAATTATAAAATATATTAAAATTAGTGTTCTTTTTGATAAAAATATTTGTGCTTCAATATATAATTAAGCTTCCAAAAAGTCTTTTAGTATGAGCATAAATAGAATTTTAAAATGTGATTAAAATAATTGATCTACTATTAACTATATGGGATTAATTGTAACCCAAAAGGATGTACAAAACATCAATAACACTTCATTATGATATGAAGACAAAGAGAGATCAATCACGTACAAACACCTAAATTTGAAGCATTTATGATATGAAATTTCAAGGGTGATTTCAAAAAAAGAAAAAAATTTAAGTGACAATTCAATGATTCCAAGAAAGAGAATAGTGATTTACTTTTAACCCCTTTCCTATTATATATATATATATATATATAAATAAAATAAGGTTCACACGTGCAGACACACAGTAAATGATTTCATTATTCATCGAGTGGATGCTCACTCACTTTTCATCTTTTTTTTTTTTTTTGGTGCTAGTAAATTTGATGACATTTGTTTTTTAATGCTAGGCAACTTTACCATCTTATATATATATATATATATATATATATATATATATAAAAGACTTTTTAATCCGAACCTCATCCAAAATAGGATGTGCATTTGATTTTTTTTTTTTTTTTTTATATCCTCTAGGAAATTGGATGTGCACCTTGATTTCACAGCAATGATTATGCATGACACAAGCCTAAAGATCAACATCTACTTCTTAAAGCATAGCTTTACTCCTCATATATAATGGAGGAAAACATGCCTCTAACGTGATCTTTTTCTGTTTTTTTTAAGGGGAGTTTCATTGCTGAGTCTTGGGTTTGGGCATTTCATACTCTAGTCTCTAGTTGTGAATAGAAGTAATGATATGAAGGACGAAAATAAGGTAAGTTTGGAATAAATAACAAATGCTCTAGTGGTAACCTTTTTATTTTATTGCAAGATAATTAAACACAACATGCTTATTCAAATGAAATTATGCATACCAAACATAGAGCAAGGATGAAAAGGAAAGGTGTCAAGAAAAGGTAATGTATGTAACTAAAGAATTAGGAGATAGAGGAAAAGAGAGGGGGAGAAAGGGAAGAGAAACTTTGGATGTGACTATTGTCTCCCAATATTCCAAAGAGGTCCAAATCAAATCAAAACCCCATCTTGTAATGGAGGGACCCTAATTGCACTATCTTATTATAGATGCATTCCAAATGCATGGCTCTCAAAGGTATCTTCCCAACAAGGATATAGCTCTTCACAAGCATCATCTTAATTGGAGGTTAATAACAAATCTTTCTTTATTCCTTCTTTTTAGAGCAATTACTCTTAATTACCTTATCTAGTAAACCATCAATTTAATTCAACAGGAAACTCGTAACCAATCGGTGATAAACATTTTGTTTTTCACACTTTGGTGATTATTGTTTTGTCCTTTTACTTTTTTTTTTTTTTTTTTAATTGGCTCTGGATTTTTTAACCCAAAACTCTTAGATAGCATTTTGTTTTTCACATTTGGTGATTTATTGTTTTGTCCTTTTACCCTTTTTTTTTAAAAAAAAAAAAAACTGGCTCTGGATTTTTTTAAATTCCAAACTCTTAAATAGCATCTTCCTATATCTAATTAGTTCTTATTGTTCTAACTCTTAGATAGCATTTTCTAATATCCAAATAGTTCATTCCATCGTTCTGCTTTTATGACATCATTGAGATATGTTCGAGTTCGTCATATTTATCAAAAGGGAAACGAATGTGCGAATTAAATATCGGATTATACTTACATTTTTTAAAGGTTGGAGTTCATTATTTTATAGAAGCTCCTATTAGTTGTTCTAAGATTTTATTCATGAAACGTGTAGGGTTGCATTTTGTAGGATGACCCATTTCTAATTTCCAAGGGTTATTAGCCCTCCTCTTAATGAACAAAAAAAACACAAAAATGGCCACAAGTTTGAAATTTCATACGTCTCGATTCTATAGAATAAATCAGCATTAATCAAATAAGGAAAAAAAGAAGAAGAAGGGAAAGCTAAAACCTCAGCATTCAAAATAAAATTGGCTATGCAAATGTAAGGTAATATCAAAACAAACACTACCCATTCCCTTCTCTTCATCTGTAATTTGTGTTGCACTTCTAGCATAAATATCTGGGAATATAATAAAAGGAAAGCTAATTAACTAGGGAAACTTTTTTTTTTTTTTCCTTTGATAATTTGACTACAAACATCGATTTTACAACTTCACTAGGCAAAAGAAGACATTTCACTAGAAAGATCCACTATGCAGGCTGCTGCTTTTCTCCCTCTCCTTTAAATTTTGACATTCCAATTTTTCCATGCACTAGCTAGAAGCCTAGATGGGGTCTCCAATCTGCATGGATTCCAATATCTGAGGTGTTTTCCTTTCCACTTCATAGCCCCATTAAAATGTAGTACACCAGAGTTATAGGCAATGCAATTAGCATCCCGAAAATGACACTGCCATTTCAAAAATCAAAAGCAAGTGATGAGAATATATATTAAGAGAAAAGAATTCGGAAAGGCAAAAAAGAAAAGGAAAACAATGGTGTACAAGCCATGATGCTTTGTTTGGCAAATATACTCACGCTGTACTGAGAATATCAGGATGCACATTGTACTCCTTAGCAAAGACAAAGGGGACAATTCCTTGGGGTAGAGCTGCCTGTTTTTTTTGTTTGGCAATCCAAGCACAAGAAAGGCAAAAAGACATGTTAGTAATGGTAGAGATGTTTGCTGTTCATCAATAACCCCAAACAAGTCCTTATGGTTTGATTAATGATTAACCTAACTGTAATTATTTTTGTCCTTTCGGCTGTCTTTGCTTTTTCCCGAATAAAATAAAATAAAATAAAATACTAAGTCCTGACTGAAAAGATATTGGGTTTTGGAAATGGAAAATATGTGAAAAAATTAAACAAATGTTCTTGTTTTATCCATTTGGCAATATTGCTCATTCCATATCCTGTTCTGCTACACTTGCGAAGATTCAATGTTTTTTGCACTAAAGAGTCTTAATAAGACCGATATGGGGACACTTCAATTGGCATCACATAAAAAATAATTTCAACTGACAAAAAAAAATTAATAAAAAAACTTATCTGGAGATAGCAGCAGCAGCAGTATTGTTTAAGAAGTACTTAAATTTTTTGGAGCTTTTGTAGTTAAGTAGGATTGGTTGTGTCAGAAGGAGGCAAGAGAAAGAGAAAGAGAGAAAGAGCAAAAGCAGGAAAAAAAAAAGAAAACAGGAGATAGTGTGCGTGTTAAAGTGACCTGAACAATGGCAACGTGTAAGAGCGTGCCTCTAAGACCAACAGCAATGGAAGCAGCTGCCATGACAGCTGGACCTGTAAGGAATCTCACAGCCATCGCAAAGGCTGCAATGGAATTTCCACATGCTATGATCCTTGGTTGCAAAGCCATGAACAGACCTGTAAGACATCGAAAAGCAGCAGGCAATAAGAGCATGCTCGTGCTTATGTTCATCCACCGTTTCTTTTTTTCTTTTTTATAAACCTTTAATCATCACTACCACCACGACTCATCAAATCAAACTAGGTAGGCAAAAAGTGAAAGATTTGTAATAGAGTGTAAGAAAAAAGGAACAAGCCCCAACAACATTATCATCACTACACTGTTTGGCACGCTTTGCTAGGCTAGTTTGCTTGCTTTCTTGGAACACTAATAATGAAAAGGTAGCAAGAAGGAATCAAAAAAGATCTCTTTGGCTAACAAAATGGTAAAGAATGAATGGATTGTAAGTTGTAACGAAAGTAAAAAAGAGACAAACAAGAGTGTGATATACTGACCAAGGCTGAACATTGCCATGCCAAGCCCTGCATCTGACAGGATGGAAATGGACTGTGCCACAATGGCAGGCATCTTTACGTCCCACCTGGAAGAAACCAAAAACAATCAATATCCCATTAATCAAAACTACAAACAAAAATCACCCAGATAGATTAATTAGTGTACTGTCCAAACACCACAAGATCTTAGTACTGTACCTGAATGAAACTAAAGACCAAGTGAGACCAATTAAGCTGGAGTAAGTGTTGGGGTTTCTGATAAGTTTCCTCCAGACCATGATGAGTATAAGCCTTGTCATGACGCTTGTTGGAGGCATTGCTTTTGATTTCCCATCAACACCACCGACTTTCTCCCCTTCATGGTTATTCATTTCTCTGTCCAGTCCTCTATTTCCAAAGCTAAAATCATCTCTCTCCAAACTATAGTCCTCCTGATTTTCTCTCTGTCCCTCGACTGAAACTCCAAAACCGACAAGCAAACCAATCAAAAACCACACATAATAATAAACAAAAACAGTAACACAAAAGTACAACAGCAAGAAAACAATCTAAAATCTAGATTGATAATATTTGCAAGCCAAGTAATAAACTAAGCTGAGCAAAAATAACTACCTTTTCCAGGAGATACAGCAAGTCTGACATCTTTCTGGTCATGGGCGCCATATTCGTGACCTCCAAAAACATCTGAAACAGGAGAAGCGCTTGAACTCCAAACAAACATGTGAAGGTCCCTACCATCTTCAGCCTTCTGTTGGGCTTGGCCATTAGGCTTCTTTGCAGCAGCATTATTAGCATTTGCAGTAACGCCTTTGGATGCAGCAGTTGTTGGAGAAAACATGCCAGGGTTTGGTGCTGGATAATGAGTTGCACCACCTGGCGCGTGGTAATGGAACCTTGGTTTGTTACTTCCACCATGTTCTTCTTCAAAATTTGATGGCCTGGGTGTTGGCCCTCGAGATGCTGATAGTCCATAAACATCTGAAGCACCAAAATTTGAGTTTCTACCAGCAGCCATCATCGAGTAGAAATCTGTGTGGTTGAAACTAGACCCTCTTGGAGTTGGGTTTCTTGATGATTGTAAAGAGTAAATCTCTGCATTTGTGAGATTCGATGGTCTTGGTGTTGTTGATGATAGACCTTGAGATCTTCTTGAAAAAATATCTGACCTTGAAGCATTGGATTTCCTAACAGTGACATGTAGCTTTCCATCTTCTTTGATCGCTGCTTCAGTTTCTAGAGGCTGTCTACCATCAAGTGACATGATATCAGAATCAACATGGATTGACACAATGGAACCTGCGGTGTCTGGGAATTGCTCAGAGATGAGCAATTTGGCACCCCTATATTCAAACAAAAACAGCATCAAAGTGTACCAAATGATACATTGAAGAACAACAACTTGCACCATTAAACTACCAGAATATTCACCATACATTCCTTTGAGCAAAGGAATGCCCATAACAAGAGTGTTTGGCAGAGTTGAAAGAGAGAACAATGTGATGGTCCATTCCAAGCAACCCCTTTTACTCAACTTACTCCAAAACGCTAATACTACTAAAACTATGATCTTTTGTAGAGTATCAGCAGCTAAGAAACGAAAGTTCATTTTGTAAGGATTATTGGTAGATATGAAGTGGAAAGACAGAAGAGGGACTGCAAAAAGAGCCACAAAACGGTTGATGCCTGAGCACTGATCAGGAGTGAAGATCTTCCACCATTTCACCGAGCCATAGGCCAAGATCATGGCCACGTAAAGTGGCACCATTGCAGTCATAACATGGTAGAAATCTAGTAAAGTAATCATCTTTGGTTACTATTTTGAAACACCCAAAACTAAAGATCAAGTCTTTTGAATGTCAAGAACAGACTGAAGTTGATCGACAAGATCAAACAAAGTATGAGCTAACTAACTAAAAGAGGAAAAAACAAAGAAGAAGAAAAAGAAGATGGCTCTTGAGCTGAAGCAGATTGATGGTGGTGGTGGTGATGATGAGAATGGCAAAGCATGTGGCTTTGGGGTTTTGGAGTAGTGGGTGGTAATAAACAGAATTGAGGAATTCTTTTTGAACTATACAATATACAGCTTTGCTTTGAGAGTTGCGAGAGCAAGCTTGCACTTGCAGTCCCCAAAGCACAGGGTCTGCTTTTTTATTTTCTTTGTTTGTTTCCCTTTTGTTTTGAGTTTTGTTCGGATTTGAGAATGAGAGAGGTCATGCCCTCATGGGGTAGTATTTCTTGTGTTATAACTATTTGATATAATTTGGTAACTTGGTATCTGCTGGCTCAACCTTCAATGGACTAAATGGACAGTGCAAAAGTAGAAGAAAAGAAAAGGCATTTTGGTTTGGGGAGGGAGGTGGGTGTCTGTCTCCACGTACTTGTTTAGAGAGAGAGAGAGAGAAGCCTTTTTAAGCATTTGGGAAAGACCCTCTACCTTTTTTCTCTCCTTTTCTTCTTGGATTCTCCTTTTTTAGCTCATGGGTTGGAGTAACTGTGTTATGGTCGTGTGCGTATGTTTTATTCTTTTCTTTTCATTCTTTCTAAACGTATTTTTGTAACAACAAAGACTTTGCTACAGAAATGAGGAAAATAAATAATATTCCTTCGCTTCCTAATTAGCGGTGAATTAAATTACCACATTTTGGGGAGAAGTGGAATAACTCCACACACTTAAATATGAAGCACTCAATTTAGAGGGGAAGTAAAGACAAGTACATGCAAATGCAAAGGATGAAGAAGACTGATCCCATTCACGTGGACCCTTGTTTGTCCTTTCTCTGATCAAATTTTATTGCTTGGCACTTGGCAGCTTCAAGGAAACAAATCCAATACATTGAGTTTAGGTCATAAAAGGTCAGTTGCAGGAATGATGTAGACTAGTACAAGAAACCCAACCACCCAGCTAACCTTCTTCTCCTGGATCGGAATAGGCAAAGCCGAACTAAAATCAACATTTTGTTCAAAGACAAAAGAACTTGTACAGTGATCTTATCACTTTTATAATAAGAGTTCAAATATTCAAATATTAATAGACTAATTCTGTTAGAAGTTTTAAATATACAATTTAAAAAATATATAAAAAATAAATAAATTTAAAAAATATAACATTTTGTTCAAAGGGTGTTTAAGGTTATATTTTAGCTTAATTGTTGAAATGGAGTGAATGTTGGATGATTAGACTCTAACGTGAAGAACAAATATCCATTAAATAGCTTAAATTTTTAGATTATAAACTTTTAAAAATTGAAAAACAAATTAATTAAGAAATACTTATTTTTTATAACAACAATTTTATTAATCTATGTTCTCCTGTTGGTTAATTGAAAAGTTTTGGATTAGTTATGAGTTTTCAAACATTATAGGATTTGTTTAAACAAAAATGAATTCATATTCAATTCGAAGACCAATTTAACATTATATTCTTTTTATTATTATTATTTTTTAACTTGTACATTCAAATTCTTAACCGAATTAATCAATTAAAATTTAAATTCGTAATTTTTTATTGAAAGAAACTATTATAATTGAACTAAAAGCTCTTTAGTAATTCAGTATCTTATTCATTGAAAGGCATTTGTCAATTTATTCTCATGCAAAACTTAATTAGGTAGTTTGGAGTCAGTGACAAACTTTTGGTTTATTTGAAGTCATAGGCATATCTAACTCTTTGGGACATGGACTTCTAATGGGAATTGATTTGCGTACTTCCTTGCTAAATCTTGGACTAAAGAACGACATCAATAGTCGTACTCATCTGACAAATCTTTTGCTTTCCATTCTAATGGGAATTTAAACACGTTTGTCTTTTACTTTACCTTTCTAATTTCATTAGATGCCTTTAAAGGGATGACCCTAATTAGTTATTAATATTTTGCTAGTTATAAACTCAATATCAAGGATGAGAAACTCTTGTGGTTAATTTACGGATTTGGTACATTTTTGTTTTGACCTAAAGTAAGTAAATCTTTTGTAAAATAAGGATAACCTAAATTTAGTTCCTCATTTGATTAAACAAGCTTTAAATTAGTCCCTATAGAAACAATTATCTCAATTAAAACACTAAATATTTACAAAATCCTTCTAACTCTAACTTGCTACGCATGTGGAAATGAGTCTCCAATCAATCTTGGGGGAATCTCAATTTCTCATAACCAAATGACGAATTACTCCATTGATCACATGAAATTGTGACAAATTCTATTAGTTGCTTTTGCAGACATTGATAAAAGGATTTTTTTTTTCTTTTTCTGAAAGTGCTTCGTTGAGGATTCTGTAAATTTTTTTATAATTCAATTGAAAAAATAAAATCAAATTCGAGATCATTAAATTTAGACACTTGAGATTTATAAAAGTAAAATATAAAGATTCTCTTTTTTGTAGGATGCAATCATAGGATATATATTCCATTACAATGAGATTCCTAGCTAGTTATTTATATGCTTCCTCTGTCTCAAAGTTATTATTTCATTTGATTTTTCACATAGTTTAAAAAAGATTATCAATTATAATGCTATATAAACATCTTTTAACAATATTTTTTTAATGAGAAAATTTATCAAATTTAATCCTACATTACAAAATAATACACTAATTACTCCCAAAATTTCAGCAACCCTTAATCTTAAGTAAAAAAATTAAGATAAAAAAATTAAAATTTTTATGTTAAAGATATTTACATGTATGCAGAGAAAATATAAAGAATGTTGATTTTTTTTTTAATTTAAAAACAAGAAATGTAAGAAATAATGTGTTTTCTTTATAATTAAGAATATTTTAGGAAAGTACAGTATTAAAAACTTTGAATATTTTATGAAAAATATAAATAGAAAAAGGACAATCTCTTTGGGTCAAGAGAATTAAAAAAAAAAAAAAATTCAAGAGAAAGATTGTTGTGTTTTTTTTTTTTTTTTTTTTTTTTTTTTTTTTCATTAATATGCTCTAAAGAGCAGTTCCTGATGCAGGGAAAGGGAATTGTAATGTATTTGGCAATCTTTCGAACAACATAATACTTTTTTCATAACAAGAGTAGATTTTTTTTCCTATAATAAATTTCCTCATACTAATATATATATAACGAGTATATTACGTGTCACATACAATTAATATGCTACTAAGCAATATCATTATGTTTGTTAATTTCACTCAATTTGTTAACCCACGTTAAAGACAACGAAATATGAACTCCTGAAGCAGAAAATTGTAGTGAAGAGTTTTGGACAAAAAAAAATATATATAAATAATATATATATTGAGAAATTCGATTGGGACAAAATTAATTCTGTACAGATTCAACTGAGATTTGGTTACTAGTTCGGGGATTAATTTAAGATTTACCCAAAAAAAAAAAATTAACATTATTAGTCTTAATATCTTACGTGGGATAGAGATATTTGTATAAAGCCAAAAGAAAGGGAAAAAAAAAAAAAAGGTGAGTTTACTAATTGTTCACTTGTTAGGAAAGGTTTGGACAAAGTTTTGATGCTAGGGTCCATTTTAAATTAAATAGTGTGGATCAATTTTCAAATTTCCTAAATTCGTCAATCTTTTCGACTACTTGAAAGGGAGGGATTTGTGAAGCCTTTTTTTGGTATGCCTTGAATTCAAAATAGTCTGAAAGTTTCTTACACGCACTCTTTAAAAACTTTTCTTCTGCTTTCTAATTAATTAAGATAAGCATTGAAAAGATGCTTAATTAATTAATTAATTTGCAGAACCTTCGAAGCTGAGTCACAAACACCTATACGAATGCAGGTGCAAGATTCCTTAATTTGAGAAGTCATTTAAGCTTATTTACGAGACTCAAAATATACAAGGTCTAACAAGTAGAGTACAAACATTTCTTAATTAGGATTAACTTAATGGTTAACGAGATATGCTTTATTTATATAACTTATTATATTCAGAAATTATGTTAGCATATGAAAAATAAAGTTCTTATAAATCTTGTAGTCTCAATCTAGGTAGTTTATTTTTAATGAATTTAATTAGTTTTTGTAACCAATAATTGGTCCACATATACCACATAAATATGAAAAAAATATCTTAAAAAAGAAAAGAAGGATCAATGGTTCAAATATATCCTCCCTAAACAATTAGATATTTCATAAAGAAAAAGAAGAGTAGGATGAAGAGCTACTGTCTCCTCTATGCAGCATTTGCTGACTTACAGTGCCTACACAGAAAAAAGGTTGAGTTGATTTTGCCATAGCCTATCCGAAGTTCACACCCTTTTCTGTATCAGTAATTGAGCTAGGTGATGTTTCAGATGGACACAAGATCAAAATTATTTTGTGGTTAGGTGCTCTTTGCATCTTCTTCTTAATTAATTTCCTCTATATATATATATATATATCCCACCTTTTCTTTCTCAGTACTATGCTCTTATGAGAGGTAGTGTACTGTTTGTTGTAGCAAAAAAAGAAGTAACCATTACAGTTGATGTTTCATAATTTCACAAATGTTTTTTAGTTTTGGTTGCATAAAGTGGGATGGGAATGCATAATTCGTAGACAAAATATGTTAATGTGCTTTTAATTAAGGCGTAACTGATGAAGTTGTTCTGCTTTTATGGTGGAAGTACTGATTATTATTAATTAATAGCCGTGTTCTAGCGATAGTTATTTGTACTGGTTTATCTTAAATTTATCCTTCTATATTAATTTGATTTATGCTTTAATCTTATCCTTATATTAACTTTTGGACTAATGACGTTAACCTTCTTTTTTTCTGTCTCTACTCTATTTTTTGATCTTACTCTTCTTCTTCTTCTTCTTCTTCTTTTTTTATCAAATTTAAATAAATAAA